CCCACCCAGCAATTTAAAACTCCATCACTTTCCTTGTTGTCTGCCATCATGTGTCTGGCACCCTATTCGCTGGCACACTATACATCTGGCACCCTGCTTACCTGGCAAACTATACGTCTGGCACTCTACTTACCTGGCACACTAACCACCTGGCACCCTATTCCCTGGCACACTATACATCTGGCACCCTACTTACCTGCCACATCAGCCCTAGCACCATGCTCCAAATGACGTACCATGCTGTCATCCTACTGTCTGTCACCCTAACCCCTCCCCCCACCAATTGGCACTGTACCAACATGGCACTGTACCAACATGGCACTCTACATGCCTGGCATCCCTGCTTACTTGCCATCCCAACCCTGACTCATCTAGCACCTTCCTCTCCCATGACCCTAGCCTCCATTCAGGTACTTACCCTTTGACAGCAGCTGTGATGCTGGACTTTTAAATTACAGAGTGCAGCAAGTGCCTGCTGTGAAAAAGAGGCCATGGTTTGCCATTCTGCAGCCCTTCCCCTAACTTTTGAACCTGTCAAAATGAAAGTACGGCTCCACATTTCTGAAGGAACCTTCATCAGAATCTCCTGTAGAAATGCAGGGTACTTTCATTGCGTAAAAACCAAGGAGCAGATAGGCAACCTGTGTGTCATTGCCACTTCCTGAAAAATCTGGCTCAGAATATTTTGCCTGTGATTGATATCTATAATTACTACATTATGACTTGTGTTAAAGTCCAAATGTTACATAAATCATTTTAATTAAAGAAATAAACCTTCTTGGCACAGCTTATCTGGAGGTGGCATGCTACAGGAACTAATTAGTATTTGAATATAGAAGATATTAGATATATTCAAATGATAACAACATTGGCATATTGAGTTTGATAACTTTAACCTGATATCCACTCCATTTAAAAAGAAGTATTAGAATGAGAATGTACGAGAGGCAGTTCCACAGTGCACTGTATTTGTTTGAAACTTTCTGAAATAGCTTGGTTGACAATTCATTGTCGTTCAGAACACTGCAAAAGCACTGTAACAACCCTATATTGCACTAATTCAGAAACAATCGCTGCTTTTAATTCCCCATATATCTCATTCAGTGTTGATGGAAGAAGAAAGAATTTCATTTATGTATTCCATCTTCCATGTTCTGAAGATTATATAAGATGCTCCACAGTCAATTAGTTGCTTTCGAAGGTCATCTTTATTGTTTTGTTGGCAAACATGGCAGAAAATTTGTATGTATCACAGTTCCACAAATGTCACTGAGATTAATGGCAAGGTTGGCTGTGGAATGAGTTCCATAATCTTGAGATATTTTCCATTTACTTAAACAATCAAATGAATTCTTGATTTAAGCTATCAGTAAAACACTTCTAACCATGCAATGACTCCTGCATATTTCTCTAAAGTTTTGCAGTAAATCTTGATTAGGTATCAAACTCAACAGCCTTATGCTTCAAAGTTGTCTTGGCTCCCACTATAGTTGGGGTATAAAAGCATTTCTGGGTGTTACACCTTAGGAAATATAATAGGCCTTGGAGAGACTACAGTGTAGATTTTCCAGAATAGTGCCTAGATTCCCAAGGGTTAAACTACAAGAAGAAATAATGAAAATTAGTGGTGTATTCTCTCGAATTTAGAATGTAAAGGTAACTTGATCAACTTTTTCAAGATATAATGGGTAACTTATAAGATACATAGAGGAAACTTTTGTTTTTGGTTGTTAAGCCTAGGTCTAGGGTGCATATCCTAAAATTGGAGCCAGACCTCTTTAGGAGTGTTATTAGGAAACACTTTTATATACAATGCAGAGTTTAATATTGAATGTATTTTCAGCAAATGGCAATTGGGATAGGCTTATGGTTCATTTTAAATCTAAGATTGATAGATTAATGTTAATCAGGTACATTAAGAGATATGAGGAAAGGGGGATATGTAGAGTTAGGTCACAGATCAACCCCAGTCTCATTGAATAGTGGATCAGATTTCAAGAGGCTAAATGGCTCACTTCTGTTCCTGTTTGTCTATTGTGCTGAGCTGGCACTTAGCTGATAGATTATACAACACAACTGTGGGAGAATATACTGCTGATCTGCATTAGGTTAAGAGAATGGCTGCCACATGATCCAGTAGAAATGAGAGTCAGACCCTTATGTTTGCCTCAAATGATGGTGTCCCCCTTAAACATCTGGAGAATTACCACTCGCAATGAGTCTTAGGATCTGTGGCACAATCGTATCACAACTCTCCACTTTTTTGATTTCATTGTGTGATATCTAAGGAAAAGCAGTCTCAGCACCCATTGGAAACTGCTTGCATGCAAGACATCAAGCATGGATAGTTACAGCACTGAGTAAATCTGGCAAGGATGTTCCCTGATGTCAGAAAAATTACATGTAGACATCATGTAGACTGTGATCAAGGCCAACATGGTTGACCTAAAGACATTTATCTAATGTATAAGTTATTTAGAAACAGAAAATTTGCAGCAACAAAGAAGGCCATTAAGCCCATCAAGACTGTGTCAACTAAAAAGAGTTTTCTCACTTCTCTCTACTTCCAGCTCTTGGTCAGTACACTTTAGGTTATTGCAGTTCAACAGCATATCCAAACATTCTTTGAATGCAATGAGGGTTTCTTCCTATACTACCTTTTCAGACAATTGGATCCAGACCTAAACCATCTTCTGAGTGATAACAATTCTCCCCAACTCACCGTTAATCCTCCTGCCAATTACTTTCCAAACTATGCCCACCGGTTATTGATTTCTTCCAATCCGCTGTATCTATATCCATCATCATTCTATAGCCCTCAATTAGATCTCCACTCAAACTCCATTGTTTTTCCAATTGGATGGAAGTTTAGTATTGAAGGCAATTGTAATTAATTATACGACAGAGCTTTTACCATGGTAGGCCATTGTTTGAAATCTGACTAAAGGCTTTTTTTCATTGAATGTTAGAGGTTGCAAGACAAACCTGATAAATTACGTCTTTTTTAGTAAACATGCCTTGCTACTTCTCCAATTCTCCCAAAATTAAAATGAAGATAGAAAATTTTTAGAAGACATTTGCACTGTTTCATCCCTGACAAGGCCTGAGTTCCAAACTAAGCTGAGTTTGGGAAGGGAAGATTAAATCCATTTGTACCTGCCAACAGCCTGCCTTTGTTTCTTCCCTATGATGTTAGTAACAGAACTGGTTTTATTGTATACTTTCTGAATGTGTACTTTGACTGCAGGCCATTTTCAAACTGGTTACTCAGAGAATGCACTATGCTAATTGATACCTCAGCAAATTTAAATGTTAAGAAGTAATTTTAATTAAAAAGACTTTTATTTGGGACATCCTTGAGTAAATATTTGTTGAATGTAATGTTTGCTTGTGCTAAATGGAATTGTGTTTTGTTGCAGGGAGATAGGATGTGGCACTTTGCTGTGTCAGTGTTTTTGGTGGAGCTTTATGGCAACAGTCTGCTTCTGACTGCTGTCTATGGACTGGTTGTGGCAGGATCTGTCTTATTGCTGGGAGCCATCATTGGCGACTGGGTGGACAGAACTCCCAGGCTTAAAGGTATGACCTAATGCTTTGCACCTTTACCACTGTAGTATACTCTTTCTAACCATTTAGCTTTTCAAAACAAAACTAATTCTTTATGCATTGCATAATATGAGATTGAACGAAGTGTAGAATAATGTGGATAATTTTAAATAGCACTGCAGAATTCTGTTATGGGACCACTGAAACCAAAATAGGTTATTCAGTCCATTGATCCTGCCCTGTTGTTTGATTATTATGTGTCTTAATGGTACCACAACTCCATTTAACCATCTTTGCTTATGTCCTTACTTCACCCAACTAGAATCTAACAACTTAAGTGTTGAAAACTTCGAATGAATAGTGGAATGCATTCTAGATTTTTACCCGTCATGTAAAAAATAACTTCCTCAGTTTACTCCTAAATGGCTTAAATCAAAGATTGTACCTCCTGTTTTAGATTGCTTAGCCAGAGGAAAATGTGTCTCTGTAATTACTTCAATGAGTCTTTTATCATTTAAAACTTACAATTATCTTTTTATCATTACTATTTTAAAGACCTCGATTATGAAATGTGTCCTCATAATTTTACTGTTTAATCCCCAAGATCATTATGGTGAGCCAGTCCTGAGGTTTGGCACCCAACACAAAACACTTTGTACAGACGAGATTTGACCAAGGTTCTGGATAACTGAAACATCACGTTTTCACTTCTGTTTTCTAAACTGCTTGAGATAAATGCCAACATTCTATTTATCTTTTTATTTACCTTTTGTACAAGTTATTTCAGTTTTGTAATCATTTGCAACCATGACCAGCCAAATATCTTTTGCTCCTTTCTACATTCTAAGAGTTTATTTCAGTGAAAAGCTGCAAACAGATGCTAAATGAGTGCTGTGTAAATAAGGTGAGCATGTTTGAAAGTTTGGATGAGGCACACAATTTCAGTGCTAATTGCAAATTACTGAAACGTAAACTCACCCTGGGAAACAATTTTCTCAGTAAATGTGGGCTCCATGTATCCACTGACATGGAATGCTTGGATTGCTCTGCTGGGATACAACAATTGATCGATTGCTGAGAGGTCAAGGGAGATGGCATATGAGGTCTCAAATTCTGCACTATAGATCATGGAGAATGGAGGAGACTTTGAGACGAGTGACGTTCTGTACCTGTATGGAGAAAAGACACCACCTCACCCTCATTGCCCTATTCCATGTCCTACAGCATCTGCTGCTGCCCTGCCTCGTCTGCTACATTCTCCCACACCAGATGCAGATCAAGGGAGACGTCTGACAAAATACCCATGATCAAGCACTCCCTATCTCCTGGTGACTCCTATAAGCTTGAATAGCTCAGGATGTTAAGACAAATGCTATTAATAAATGTTGGAAACTTTTATAGAGCCTAAAGTGGCTGTTTCCAGTGCACACTTCAATTCCTTCACAGAAATGTGACTTATGTTAAACATGGACTAATTTTGCATTTCAGCTCAGAATCCAGTGGTCACTTTGGTGCATCTTTAGCTTTTAACCTGCTGTTGGAAATCACTGTCTTAGACTGCCACCATTAAGGAAATATTCTGAGTTTTCTTTCTCAGACCCAAAGTAAAAGACCTCATACTTACAATACAGTTTATTCCATGATTATCAAAATTCTCATATCCCAGGGATACATTGTTAACATCTTTTTACAAAGTGTAATTCACTGGATTTTTAATGATTGTCTATTATACATGCATGCATTTATATTAAATGCTTGCTTTCTAAATGTTTAAATTATATATAAAAACTAATGTTTTATGCACAGAGATTGCCTGGTATGCTTGATAATGGCATTTGGTTTCCTTTACTCTGATAGAATCTCTATAAAGCCTTCATATTAATCTGGGAATCTCTGACAGGAAGATTCATATCCATCAAGAAAAGAATTAAAACTGTCATATGAATATTTTACTCACAATAACTCATAACTTGTTCTACAGCATTGAAAGGAAGTGTTGGAAAATAAGGGGAGGGCCTATTGTTTTCAGCCAGCACTAAAACAGGCAAGTAGTACGTGGTAGAGGAAGCAGTAATGTTGACATATACAAGGGATGTCTGACAAGAAGCTTCAGGAAGCTTAAACTAAACATGTTAATGTGTTTCACTACTCTTTGTACCCTGGTGTCACAAGGCTGCCGAGTGTCAATCTCTGGTGCACTCTTCTTTGATGGTTCTTTGAGGCCTTTGAGATTCCAATATGTTATTTTGCAATTTTATAAATTCATTTTTTTAAACTTCATTTCAGATTTTGTTTTTTCCTCCTCAACTTAGTCATTTCTTTTCTCTTTTCATCTTTGTGTTTCTATGATTCAATCCTACTTTCTGTTCATCTCTCCAGTTTGGTATTTGCACCTCTAGTTTAGTCATCACGGGAATTCATTCTTTTCTGTGTGTTGTAGTTAATTCCTACACAGGATGTGCATTATTGTGCAGTAATTTTGTGTTTACAAGCAGTCAGTGCATTTTTATTTGCATTGCCCAAACTCCTAAAAAATTTAGTCATGTTAACAGATGCAGCATTCTTGTTACTTATGAATTTGCTAAACATCAGTTAAAAGAAAATATACAAATTTGCCTTTCAGCCCATGTTGCATTATTTGTACTAGCACTAAATGTATCTTTAAGTCAAAAGTCAACCACATTGTAAAGGATGAGTTGTTGACTCAAACAGCAAAATGTGTGTATGAAAGACAAGTATTCATATGAAGAATTTATTGAAGTTAGAAGATGAATAACAAAGTAAGGTTAATCGTCAATGGTCATAGGAAAAAGAGCAAAATTTCCTACTACCGTAGTATCATGTTGACTGGTAGCAGAGTACTTTGGCAGAAAAGCAAAGAGTTAGTGAAGAAAAAACATTACAATTCCCTGGAGCCAAATATGTATCCAAGGGACAACATTAACTTGGTATTGGCAAGGATGGTAAAAGACCTAATAAAGCTCAAACACTTTTGCCATGTATTCATTTAAGAAAGACATGGCTACATTTATCATCTGAACAATCAGCTTGTGGAAGATTAATGAGTTAGCCAGAGCACTGATGCTTTATTTTGACCTTAAAGTTAGTGTGTTGGGGGAGAGATTGACAAGGGTTTTTAAAAAGATGTGACATTCCTAAAGTACTGGAAGCTACCATTTGCGTTCCTTTGGCCACCTGATTGACCATCAAAAAAAAATCCCTGGTGCGTATGAACAGAGAATTGTGTCCCTTAATAAATAGCTAAAATGTCTGTAATGACTATCAAATAATTAAATGCATGAATGCAGTTTACACAAAATGTTCCCATTGTCTATTTCTTGAAATAACAGGTCTCCCAACAATTTCAGAAAGAAGACAAGTTGATTATATAGCTTCTTAGAAGTGAAATATCCTTTCAAAACATGCTCAGTGCAAACTGCTACAAAACTGCATACGGTAAAGTATATTCAAGACATAAGAATAAGAGCAGATAGTCATTATGTGAGCTCAAACACTGATCTAGTGTCTCAGCTGTAGCAAGAGTCCTCTAAAGCCTGACCCTGAAAGAGCAGGCAGAATATTAATGGTGTATTCAATTCTGCAGAGAATTGGCATAACAAGAGGCATAGACTTGTTTGAGGAGAGTGTACAGAAACAGAACTGGCACAGGAGTTAGAGGGGGAGGTGGAAGATGATAAAATCCGCCACATTTTTAATGAGTTATAATTTTCTAGATGTCTAGAAAATTTGTCAATTGTACTTTTTTTTTCTCTAATAAACAAACATTCCACTGAATAGTGGCATTCTGGCTCAGCAATAGCAAATCACCTCTAGGTCAAAATTTTACAGGCTTAAGTTCCACTCCAGGACCTAAGCATATAATCTCAGCTGAAACTTCTGTGCATTACTGAAGAATGCTGCAGTGTCAATGGGGCCATGTTTTGAATGTGATTTTAAATGGATAGCTTCTCTGCTTGTTTAGGTGGGTAAAAAGGTTATTGACACTTTTTTTGAAGAGAGTAGAGCCTTCCACTAGTGTCAACAACAACAACAAAAACAGAAGTTGCTGGAAAAGCTCAGCAGGTCTGGCAGCACCTGTGAAGAAAACATCAGAATTAATGTTTCAGGTCTGGTGACCCTTCCTCTAGTGTCTTGGCCAACATTCATACTGTAACAAATTCCACGAAAACAGGTTAACTAGTTATCCACTCATTGCTGTATAGGTACCATGCTATGAGCAATTTTAAAATCATCTATTTGAATAATACTGCAGAGAAGGTTTCCACTTGAATAATTGTACTTGTGTCAGTTTTTTGATAAAAGTATCCAATTAGTTCCATTTCCATGCTTTTTTACCCCTCGTCTTCAAGTATTTATCCCATTTCCTTTTAAACAATACTTTTAAAACCTTTTCCACCACTCATAAAGGCACAATATTTTAGATCAAAACAGCTAGCTGTACAGTTGTATTTCTTTTCTCACATTGCCTCTGGTTTCTTTGTCAATTTCTTTAAACTATGTCCTCTGACTACCAATTCTCTGCCAATTACAACAATTTCTCCTCATTTACTCTATCAAGCCCATCATGATTTTGAACTTATCATTAAAATCTCCCCTTTAATTTCTCTGCTGGAAGGAGAACAACCACAGCTTCCCTAGTCTGCCTACACAATTGAAGTCCTGTGTCCCTTCTGTAATTCTAATAAACCTACTTAACAACCTCTGCAAGGCTTGACAACTTTCATAAAGAATGGGGGCCTAAGCTGTGCTTTCTGAATTTTCTGTATCAGTTAATTCCCTTCCTGTTTAATGCCTCTACTTGTAAAGCCAAGGATCTTGTATACCTTTTTAAAAATATTCTATATCTTGTTATACCTTGAATATTCTATGTCTGCATATCAATACTTACTGTTATTTGTCCCTCTTTCATGAAAAGATTAATATTGAAAGTAAATATTGCGATATTTAAAATGGTGACGTGTTTTGGTTTATGCATTCCTGGCTAGGTTCCCACTACTATTTCTGTAAAGCAT